GCACACTTTGTCATACTTTGTTGCACTAAGTTTGATAATTATGGTGTTCGGAAACTCATAGGCATCAATAACTTAACTCTATTTCATATCATTAAGAGTTTATTTTTTTAGTGGAGGTATCGAGACAAATACACTGTTTAAAGATCGTCACCTCTGACTTATAACACACGTTATTACCGTTATGTTTTTCACGCTTTGTTGCATGTGATACGAGCTTGAGTTTTCAATGCAAAGCACAAAGACATATAAAATCGCTTTGAGCTGTATGATGTGTGTGAAAAATTCAAACTTACGTGATTCCTTTTCGGTTATTCCAACGGTATGACCCTCAAGATTCGATAATCATGGCGAATGGGGGTCAAATTTCTTTTCTCACTCCCCTCAACTTTTCATCAACTCAGCTTTCAAGATGATAACAGCGGATACCAGATGTATAGAGAAATTGAAATATCCACGAAAAACCCACAGAAAAACACAACAATTTCCCACGAAATTGACAGAAAATTAGTCACAAATTCACAAAAACTGTTTAAATATTGAATTACGGTGTAGTTTCCGTTAAAAATCCAGTTATGAAAACATGATTTACTCCCAAAACCTTCTTTTGTCTGAGGCCGTGTTTACTGTAAACGCGTGAAGAGTGTAGTCACGTGATCTCAAGACCAAACGGCCTCGTTAGTTGCAGAAGGCGCCGTTATTTTCAGGCAGTGCGGCTTTCTGCTGATTTCTTTGAAGTTGAATGCAACAGATGGGTTGCGTGGCAGAAGAGAAGAATGTGTTTTTACTGGTTTTGAAATTGATAGCATGCTTTTTATTAACCCCGATTTTAATTAGTTCATTAGTAAATTAACTAGGCTAATGACGCAATGCAACAAAGAGAAATCCGAAATCCATATTTTAATAGTTATAGGGAGACGGGTAGGCCTATTGCCTGCTTTGTATTGTGCGTGCTTTCAAATTTTCACCTAAAATAGAAACATTTAGTGGCCTAGTCTTAACGTTAACAAGTGTTTTCATAGGATATTTTTTGAAGTGTAGAGGACTATGGGCCTATAGACAATATCAAGTGTAGTGAGTTACAATCTCATTAGGTAGCCTACCACTCCCTCATCCCCCCAATCTCCTCTCCTCAGTCTAGTTTAGTGTAGAGAATTCCACCAACAAAACAACTTAAAATTCTAACAAATCGATGAAATGGGAAACAAATGGAAGTTTTCTAACTTAATTCCGTCGTTTTCCTTGGAAAAAAAATTCGATTCTACGAACTTTAGCTGCGGAATTCCTGTAACATCAATTAAGTCAATTTTCCGTTTTCGTCCTTTTTTATGTTCAAATTCCAGATCAATGGCGTTTTCCACACTTTCCGCAATTTTTTTTATTTTTTTGGAACAGAATATTAGTTTCTAAATCAATCAGTCTACTGGGAACTTACAACTCTTAAGACCCATATACAATTTTTAGTTTTACATTCGTGTTTTGATGGTTGTAGGCTTCATTCCAGATCCTCGGCTGTTAAAAATTGAAAGAGATAGGCATATAGACTGATTCCGCTGTTTTAGCAAAATTTACCTCGGTGCACACTTCATGACGTTTCTTCATTAATCTTTTCTTATGGCATCAAAGTTGGGTACATTCATATCAATCATACGAATGCTATGATGGTCTGAATGCCAACGAAGTCGCACAATGCCACGAACTGTGCAATGAGGGAATTGTGTCAGGACATTTGAATTAGTTTCAACCTCTACGTTTTGTTAAATCAATAAGAAAGAGTGGAGATAATTAGCTGTAAAAGCTCCAAAATGGAGTTAACCAATAGGTTGCACAGTTTAACAGATCAGCTGTGGTGTTAACCGAACTTAAAGAGTAAAAATGTTTTTATGTTGCTATATATTTCCATATATTCCTTCGTGAATTAGGCCTACTGATAGATACAAATTAAGAATGTTACCAAATGGTCGCTGAGGGAGAAAAAGATTTTGATGTTTTTGCGCTTCTCTTATTTATTGTCCATATATTTTTACTATATCTTTATCATCAAAATATTTGAATTGGATATTCCAATTATTACAATAAAAGTGAAAAAGTAACACTCTAATATCATCAGCCCACCAACACACAGACACCCCCATTGTTCCCATTTCATATCCACCCTCAATCAAGGGGTTGGCCCGACCAATCTTGCCACCATACCCATTCATCTCGGCTATTCCTTCTCCAGTAAATAGAGAAATCAATTAGCGATCAGAGGCTGTAAATCAAAATGAATCTGTCTCAAGTCTCCGATACGATCGTTAAATATCGGAAAACGATACGTAATTTACTACGTTCCGAACTGTCTGTTTTTGTGTACCCAGAAAAGGCTTCCACTAATTCAATCTCTTCATAGGTCGGAGGGGGTGACATGGAAAAGGCGTCTAAACATTATTTACCAATGCCACGTTTGTCACAGCCTGTGCTTAAAGATCCTTCGACCAATAGAAATCGAAAAGCTAATGTCGTTGCTTAGGCAAAATTCTCTTCATAGCATACTGCATGGTGTGGTCTATATTCCTTAACCCAATCAAGTGAAGAAAGGTATGATTTCGTGTCGTTTTAAGACTATTATATAAGACTCCTAAATCCGATAGTTCCGATTGCCTCATCTGAGATTTATAGCGGATTGTTCAAGAATGAAATCGAAGCGATCGCTCATTAATCTAATTAGAACTCTAGGATCTATCTATCTGGAATTGTGATCCGTTAAGACGGAAGGGTAGGAGATGGGACCGGTTGAGGTGGGGCTCCTGTTAGGGTCTGGTGAAATAGAACTGACCTGGTGGTTGGAAGAGTATTGTGACAGGCAAGACATGTGCGGGGAGGGTCTGGTGACATAAGACTGAAATGTATGGGGCTTGTGGTAGGGTCTGGTGACATAAGATTGGCCTGGGTGGGGCTTAGGGTAGGAATTGGTGACGGAAGACGGTCTGGCGGAGCTTGTGGTAAGGTCTGGTGACATGAGACTGACCTGGGCGAGGTTTGTGGTATGGTTTAGTGGCAGGCTGGGTGGG